TGCACTCCGAACGGCAGCTCGGTCTTACCTCGGTCATGCTAAGCGTGAGCATGATCCCACTGATGTCAGCAGCATCTGGACCATCGCCAGCATGTTTGGGTGGCTGCCACGTAACGCAGGCCTGGCCGTGGGGAAGGCAGGCACAGCCTGGTGGCTTGAGTGACGTGGTATGCGGCTATCTTCAGAGGCCTGAGCCCATATGGCCTGGAAGGAGCAGCTCCTTTTAAGTATGCAACAGCTCTTATCTTTCCACTATTAACCTCGCTTTTCTTTTGGAGAGTTTGTCAATACAGTCCTATTGACCCCTACGCAAGGATATTCTTGAGACCCTGAAGCTCTCAGGTAGTCTCAGAGGGTCTCCTGACACCACCGCCAGTAAGGTGGCTTTCACTCCGCTAACGTCCTCCTAGCTTCCAAGGCGCCTGGGGCAAACGACAGGACGGACCACCAGCCTCCTCGGGGCAGCACCCGCTGCTGCAGACAGTGAGGTCCCTTTGCCCTGCTCGTAAGTTCACCACCTGCCCGGCTGATGCCAGTTTGTTAGTTTTCAGCGCCGGTTGTCCTGCTGGGAGAAAGTTCCAGACTTAGCAGTTTTGTCTGGATATGGACTGAGGGAAGAGGGGTGTTGAGAAGAGCTGGGGTGCAGAGCATTTCGTGGCACAATGTAGAGCTGTTGCTTCTGTTAAAAGATTAATTTTGTAGTTAGCAGCACTAGTGGGCTGTTGCCTTGTGCTGAACCAGCTGCTGCAAGGATGAAGCACAGACTCAGACAGAAGGCTGCAGCAGAAGAGAGGGAATTGGCTCGCAGCTAGCGCCGAAGCAGAAGAAGGGTCCTACGAATCCTTCTGTCTGGGGGCACGTTCAGAAAACACCCCCCTTCAGGGAGCAGCTAGCTTCAAGATTTTCTAAAAAGACATTTTGCCGGGAGAGGACAAGCCGGTTTTTGCTAGCAATTTCAGTTTCAGATCTCATTGAGGGGCTCTGGCATTTGCATAACTTCCCACGGAAACTGAATCAATGTTTGACATCATGGAACAGACTCTCAGCCGTGATTTAGCATTAGTAAGCCACGAGTCATCAGCATACTGTCATTCCCCTATAGCTGACATCTTAATATAGTCAGCCCCATGCACACATGTTCAGCAGCAGCAGATTCTTATGCTCCCGCCACGCAGGATCTGTTTAACCTGGGCTTGCACATGCAAGCATCCAAAACGCAGTAGTCCAATTTTCAGTGCTCAAAATGCACTTTCCTTTTAAAGGAAGGAGGGAATTTTTAAGTCCTCTTAAATAATTTAAGAAACTACTGATACAATCAAAAGTCAAGCTCCTCAAGATGAAAATGTCTAGATGATGAATAAGTTAATGGAACTAAAATCCCAGTCGTGGCTGATTAGGGAACCAGGAGAGTTTATCAGAGATGGGAATGTACAAGCCCAGTCACAGCCTGACCTTGTAACGAATGAGAACTGAAAAGCAATTAATTGAGAAATTATCAGGGAAAAGCGAAGCTGCATGGTTGGTTAGGTAAAGCAATATGTCAATGGTCCCAGGATTGATTTGGCTGGAATACCTCAAGGTCTCTGTTCTGATGATTCAGGACTTGAAGGAACTGGCCCGAGCCAAGCAATAAAAATAAAACAGGGTCAGCAGAGGGAGTCATCAGTCAGCATGGTGGATCAGTGTTCATGTATTATTTAGCTGATAGTTAAGGGAAGTTCTCCAACAACAGCAGTCTTTAAGGCCAACTTTTTTGCTTGGAGGGAGGAGGGGAAATGAAGAAGAGCAGAGAAAATGCTCTGTTGTGCAAACGATCGCGCTTCTCATTTAAAGCACTGAGTTAGGAGACATTTCCTGGGAATAATGTGCAGCGTTGGGATGACTGCATGTTCATAGCGAGTGCCTGTCGGTCGTATTTGCACACGCAGCTGCAGTGAGGCAGTTAAACAGACTCCCACTGACTCAGTCCCACCCGTAACCTACAATCCCAGAGTCCCAGAAGCCAGCACTGCATCTTCCTCTCACCTTCACTTTCCATCCTCCCTTCTCCCGCCAGCTGACTTTCCAATGTGCATTAGAGTCCGAGCAAAGCTAGATGCACACTTACTAACCCTTTACTCCAACGTGGTTTGACACTAGGCATCATTTTCTGCTGTGATATTTTCTTCCCTCCTGTTGCCGACATGCTGCACAAGACTTCCACTCCCATCCCCGCCAAACACTGAAGGGCAATACCCCACCCAGCCCACCAAACTGACTGTGCTCCTAAGAACAACTTGAATGAGAACATAGGTAGTATCTGGTAGATCAGGAGAACAGCAGAGCAACATAAGCAGTAAATAAAGTCTTCTATAAGACCAGTGGGTTGGGTGAGAAATGCTGTCTCTTTGCTTGTCTTATGACAAATGACTCAATAACACGAAGCTACCTCACTCTCTCTGAAGGCATAAGAAAATCCCTACAGAGTCAGCCTGCACTTGTTTTCTGGCAGAATCAGGACCTCAGACATCATCAACTGTTCCTTTTTGGGACTGAGATCCTGAGAAGTTGCAGAAATGTTGAAGTTTTGTTGGAGAACTACAATTACCTTTCCTATCAGGGCAATCTTTTCAGTTCTGGTCTTTTGGAGGAAGGCTTTCTAAACATTTCAGATTTGATACTGGGCCTTTTTGTCATTTCCTTGAGAAAATCTAAATGAGAGCAGCCTGTATCTCAAAATAGGAACATGGGCTGAGAGGCAAAGGCTTGGCAGATAAATATAAAATGTCCTGTGATGCAGATATAGGATAGGTGCATTAATGTCAAGGCTAAGGAGAAGTGCCTGGAGATAACAAAATGAAGAAAGACCCTGCTGCAGTCGTGTGGTCTTGCAAGGGGGAACCCACCAAGGGGGAGCTGAAGGAAGAGAAGGGAATTAAAGTGCTCCCCGCGGGAAATTGGTTGCCTTGCTGAGACCAGTCTCTGACTGAAGGGAATGCTCGGGGCTGCGAGAGTTCAGGAATACCGTAGGCAGGGAGCTGAAAACCCCCACTAATCCGAAGCAGAAGACTAGAGCTATGGTTTTAGCTTTTTTAATCTCAATATGCAATAAATAGAAGCAACTCCAATGTTTCACTGCATGTAGCCATTAGTACTGCTATAGCTCAAACTGAAGTTTTTAGAAGGAAATTCTGGCAGCAACATGGAGATAAAGGAACAACTTTATCCTACTGCCTGTGGACATATCTCAACGCGCACTCATTTCTGGGGCTCTTACTATGTCACGCTCCATGTAATGCATTTTCCATTTCCCCTGACCCTAGAGCTTTGCATTCAAGGAACAGATCCCCCCAGTGAATTCATCAGGAGGAATAATAACTGAAACACAAACTGTGAGTTGCTGGGCCAGCAGATCCATCCTGGAGTTGTCAGTGTGCTAAATTTCAAGGCAACATAAATGTAGCCTCCCTTGCTTGAGGATCAGAAGGAAACAGCAATATATTTCGAGCCTATTTTGTTGAAATGAAAGGGAAAGAATAAATGTGAATTCTAAGAAGCAGCACTTCTCACACAAGACTAAGTAGCAGTGCCCAGCAAGGGGGGTGGGCTGGCATGAAACAGAATTTCTTTCATGGATAAAGCCAAAAGCTTTAAATGTTTTCTCTCAGTCCAGCAGATCCTCTCGTTGTTTGACTGGGTAGCAGCCATTATCTACATAACGGAAGCGGAAGGACAGAGAGCCAGAAGGCCAGTGCGATATTGAGATGCTGCGAAGGAGGGCCTGGAACGCGGTCCTGAACAGTCGGACGGGATCTGGCAGGTAACTGTCAAGTTCTTTCATTTTTTCCTGTCTTTTGGAGCTATGCACAATCCTGGCAGAAAAGTTTCCTTGAATTTCTACCGTTTTATGCCGGGGTGGCGTTCAGTCTGAGGACCAACTTGAAAGAAACCTGCCCAATTCCTATAGTGACTTATTACATTATCTCCCCAAGCATTTCCGTATAGGTGGATTCCACATGTTTTTAAGCCAGTAGCCAGATTTTGTGCTCCAGGATCCTTTTAGAGCCACGCTTGTAGCCACTATTTACTATTAAGAGTAGATCACGCTGAGAAAGGAAAATGGGGTTGGCCACACTATTATCAACATTGTCCTTTCTCCTTTGTTTTCCTTTTTGGATTGCATTATTCTTTACTGCAGAGGCTGCGGTCCTGCTCAGTCTGTCTGCAACATCTCAGAGTTTACAAGGAGGTAGTGGATAGGGTGGCATGTCCCAGCCCTAATCGCAGATTATCGTTTAAGGATAATTAACAAAGATGACTCAGAATGAATCTCCTTAGGAGAAGGTCCTTGGCCTGCTTCTGCTCTAGAAAATGCACAAGGCACTGCTCATCCGAAGAGGGCACAGACACAAGAACTGCCAGAATTGCAATCAGTGAAATCCAAAATGTGACAGTGTGTTGCATGAAGCAGCTAGCTAGATATTGTCGCTGAGACATAAGAAATTCTGGCTTTTATGGTATGAATCAAGAAACATTTGTAGATACGTGTAAAAAATCTGTCTGAATGAATTCTGTGATCCTCTGATGTTTTGCATGTGTGCGTTATAGTTGGCTGCATAATCTTGCTAAAATGGTTTCTGTGCATTTGCATGCTTTGGGACTACAGGAACCTACAGACCGATGCCTTGCATGATTTTTTTTAACTTAAAAGTACTGATATCTGAAATTCCTTTGTGATCCAAATACCACTAGAAATAAGACAAGAAAGGCAAAGCAAAGGTGCCCTAGTACAAACAGAGTTTTCATGCCTTTTGAATCATGCTGCTTCTCCAAAGGTGTGCTGGATTTCACCCTGATCTTACACAGAGGGGATGAAATTTGGAGTAGAAATGTGCTCTTTATTTTCTTGATTATTTTCCCTCATGGGCAAAGTGTTCAGTATCAAGGCAAGGATACACGGAGAATGTCACAATTTGCAAGGGCACGAGTGCAGAGTCTGAATTTTGATGTAGTTGCCTTGAAAATCAAATGAAGAAACCCCATCAAATGCACGGGACACTTGTAGTAGATGGATTTGTATTTGTGTATGCGTGAGATAATCGAGGCAGGGAAGTATGGTCAGATGTTGCTGACATGTACCTAGGACTCCAGAGAAGTGAGCTGTGTTCCTAATTCGGTCAAAGATTTCTTATACAGGTTCAGACAAGCCATTCAGCTCCCCTTTTTTCTTCAAATCTTGCTCTATAAAATGTGGGATCATCATATTTTCATTCTTGGCATCTGGCAAAGCACCCTAGTAGAGGGTGCTACCCCAGGCAACGCTGGACTGGTGGTCTCTGGGACCATTTGTCCACCGCTAAAGCATTAGTCCCCTATGCTTCTTCGTAGTTTTTATAACAACAAGTCAATTTATATTTGTGATTCTCTAAGGAGAAGGAAATGATTCAAGCAGGTAGGTGTCAAAGGGGACCCCCCCCCTCCAAGATATTGTGTATTAGACTCAACAGAGCTGGTATGAAAGACAGGCTTAGGTAAATCTGTAAATCTCCCATCTGAGTTTGTTGTTGTTGTTGTAAAGGGTTAACACACACTGACAAATATTTCTAGGATGAAGTGCTAAGATTTAGTGCACTGAATTAATTCTTAAATTAGAACAGGGGATTTGCACATGATTTCTAAGGGAAATTATCTTCTGGGTAAAATTAATACAGGAGATGTTTCAACATCTGGGATGGCATTATTATGAGCAATGATTATCCAGACATTGCCAAAAGAAAGAGAGCACAGTAGACTCTTTCTTTTCCTAACCAAAATAAGCCACTCACCCTGAAGGAGGAAGACTGCTTGCAAAAGCGCTGACTTATTCAGAAATGCACAACAAGAAGTAAATTCATGTACGTTGAGACATTATAGGAAAAAAAAAGCAGCATGCTCCGCTAATGTGGGGAAACCAAACTCCACGTGGGCACGGCTCCCTTGTCCTGCGTGAGCTCGGGGCGTCAGTCTGCCTCGCCTTGGAGCGCTGCATCAAAAGCGACGCTTAATGCGCTGGTACAGCTGTCCAGGTGTTTAACGTTCGGAGGTAAAAGAGGGACTGCGCTGGCAGATGTGACCTGGAAAAACTCCAAACGCGCGTGGTCGCTAGCCTGCGCATCCATCGCCTCCCCGCCGAGGGAGAGCGCAAGATCCAGCCAGATGCCTCATCTCCCTCCAGCGTTTAGAGGGCTGGTTCTTCCCTGTCTGAAATTTAAATAGGGCACAGAGGAAAGCGCAAGCAAGGCCTGCTCGAGTTATTTTGTCAAAACTATCACACACCAGGAGAGGCTTATAAATATTTATTCTGCTTCAGCGTATTTCGTTTTGTAAAGTAAAGGGGAAGGCACTTGAGTGGGAAAAGGTAGGCTGGCGGCAGGCAGACCCCTGCTTCTTTCATATGAAAAAACACCCATGTTTAATTTAAAATGGCATAAATATAAGACAAATGCCTCTCTGCTCTCATGTTAGGAGCTGGCTATTAAATTACATCACAAGGGCTACGTGTGGGACTGGAAGAGTGCGTGGTTATTTCCGTCTCCGAAACCCGAGTGCAAGTCTCAAGGTAATTACTTTGGATCCAAGTGTAATTACCAACTGATCTGCAGCAACATACACAGTGGTGACATCCATTCGAGGCAGCATTAGAGCCCGATAATAGCACAGCGTCATTAACACAGCTTAGCACTTCCACGCATGGCCACAGGCCCCGGTTTTCTTCGGGAAGCAGCTCACGATTAGGCGGCCAAATGTGGAGATCTCATTAGAAGGCACCTGAGATGCTGCCTTCGGTCAGCGCGTGTGTGCGCGAGTATGCATGAACAAATCAGTGCACATTGTAACTATAGCACACATGAGGTCCTCAGCCTGTAAAACTAAGCAGGAGCAGATATTCTTCGCCACTATATATTTCCTTGTTGTGATATTTCTGCAATCTGCCCTTACTCTTTCCTTTCCAAAGTATTGAACACCCTGGGAAGAAGTGCGGTGTTTTATCCCACTGATACCTGGGGAATCATTGCCTATGTGTTTAGCTTTGCGGTCGCTATTACAAAGTCACTACCTTTGCAGTCTCTACTGTAACAGCATCGCGCTAAAATTTGGGGATATTTTATCTTGAGCTAGCACGTCATCTGTTCCCTTTTGGAAGTAGGTGGCTATAGGGCTTTTCTTTTCTTTCTTCTTTTTTTTTTTTCTTTTTTCCAAGGCTGCAAACATCACAGTGAGCAACCCATTTATTCTGATGGTCTTGAAAGCTTTCTTTACACCTCCAAGAAGGTCAGAGAACAGCTTCAGAAAGAGAAAATGAGGAAAAAAAAACTTGTTTTTTTTAGAAAATTGTCTGGCTCGTTACCACTCTTTCTTAGCAATACAGTATTCTAAAGACAACTCAATTAATAGACCAACTTCAGAAATTAGGTCATATCAAAGAAAAGCAGAACATGCTCTTTTTAATCTAATGTTTCAAATACCTTTAGTTGTGTCAGTTCTAAATCACAAAGACGAATGAATGAAAAGATGACAAAAAAGGCTGACATTTTTTAAAATCTTGTATGAGATTTTGCAAATAAGCAAGCAAATATTTCCCCGTTCTGGTAAGTAACAAGGTATTTGCACCCAGCTCAGGTCCAGTGATGTCAAAGGGAGATCGTCAGGGTAACTAACCCTGAAGGAGCCTTTCCGTTTCGGTCAGCGCTGCTAAGCCATGCCTGATGCTTCGAATGAGCTGAGCCGCACAGAGATATCTTTTCCCCTGTTTTTGCTTATATGCTGGTTTTATCAGAGTAACTCCGCAGATGTCATTGAGACACATTTTGTTTTCAGTTACATCAGTGTAAATCAGAAGTGATCCAGGGAGCTCTGAGATACCCCCTTTACAGTGATATCCTTGACATTAAGAGTTTGGTGCTGTGATATTATGACAACTGAAAGCCCTTCCATGAGGAAACAAAGTCAAGATCAGCACTGTCCTGGAATACATTAGAAAGCATGTTTGTTATTGCAAAGGAGACAGTATTTGCCTTGGCTGTGAAAAAGAAAACCAGATCTATAACAGCTAGGATTTCATCTCTACAATTTATCCAATGAGATTTCCAATCTTCTTGCACAGATACCCTGCTGCTAACGTAGCAGTCAAGATCAGAGCACTTAATCAATCATTCACTGAGGACAAATATGTGTAATCTAAATTAGAACAAACCAAGGCATATTTTATATGACAGCCGTACAGATTTTTAAGAAAAAGCATTGGCAAGAAAATTACATGAAAACAGAATTGCCTTGTGTTTATGCTTAAAGTGGTAGATTTTCTAAAGGCTACTGTGGGACTAGGTAACCTTAAATATACCGGGGTCAAATTCTGCTCTTCCTGACTTCCCTTCCGCACTTTCATTAATAAACGAGAGTCGGGTTTTGCCCTCCAGCTCTGAAGCAGAAAGCAGACCTCAATATGATGTAGAGCCCTTCTTAAAAACGTTTCATATTGGAGGATCATTGTTGATTCTTCTACGATCAGTGCTGGTTCAGGTTTTCATGAATCAAAAATCAGTTAGTAGCGTGTATCTTAGAGCAACCTATTTATCTGCAGGTAGGAAAGGGAAGTGGCGCTTCGAAAGATAAAAATCCTTTGCCTTGAGAATGAAGGCCAGGCTGCAGGGGACACTGGGGCCAAGGATGGGAACTTAGGAGAACTCCTGTCCAGGCTCTGCTGTAGGCCGACTGGGTGACCTTGTGTTCTCCCATTTGCCTCTAGGTGAGGTATTACTTATCCATGATAATAAAAATCATGACTCTTTATCTACGAGCCATGGTTAAATCCCTTGTATCAACTTGCACGAGCTCCCTTTTAAAACAGAATCACAGCTATTCAAAGGAACTTTCTTTAAGTGACCGCAGTGCAGCTCTCATCAGAGGTCAGCTGTTGGCCTGACTCTGCAGGGTGTTATTTCCCAGAGGAGCATCCCAGTGATGGCCACTGATAGCCGATGGGTGCCTAGTGTACAGTCCGTAGCGCAGATCATTTGTGGATACCCTTCAACATTAGAGGTACAAACTGGACAAGCAGAGGGAGGGCTTGACCCCAGCCAAGCCGCTAACAGCCAGACGTGGGTGTACAGGGCAGCAAGCACTGTCTTCTAAGAGGCCAGTGACACCTAGAGTGAGGATTTTTGCAAAAAACACATGCAAACCTCCCTTTCCCACTTCTCTCTGCAGCCGAGGAGCTAAATAGTTCCTCTGTCTTAGCAGTTGGGCCTCTGTCTCTCCAGGAGTAGCGAACGCTGCTGTAACCTCCCGTAGGGAGCGGATTGCAGCTTATTGCAATGCTTTGGTACTTTTAAACAGGCATTTCAGTCCCTGTATGAAAACTGGTCTGATCTGGAGTGCAGCAGGCTTCGTTTTCTCTCCTGGTTTTGGAGGGACTTGCTAGGTTTTTCAGGGACAACTGTCAAGATGTCAAATTTTTCCATGAACCCACCTGCCAAGACAATGCACTGCCGTCAGTACTGCTGACGCTGGCAGGTTTGTTCAAATGGGGTGGGAAAAGGTTGGCAGAATCATTGACCCAACACTTCTTGAATTAAAGGCAGTGGTAAATACCCCAGAAATACCTGGAAAAGCAAAATGATGGCAGTACCCAGTGCTTTTGAAATCTTGGGTGCCTAAACAGGATTTACACACCTAACTGCTTATTTTTACATCTGAAAGTCAGGTATGGATTTCAGTAAGATCTCTAGGCAGGAGAACGTAGTCTCAGCTTCAAAGATCAGATCTGAATGTGAAGTTTCTTTATGCGTGAGGAAAAGACCGAGCCCTCATTTCGGTGTAAGTTCATCACAGTAGTGAAAGCGAGAGAGAAACCCGTGTTTCTCTGAATCCTCCTGGAGTTAAACCCAAAGCACAAGACACCTTCCCATGCTCTATAAAATGTGAAAATCCTTCTGTCTTTCTTTTGCCTCCAATAAATGAAAGAACATCTGCCCCTTCCCATCCAAAACAGAACGATTTTTTAAAGTGCTGCCTTCTTCCTTGTTTGCATCCGTTTCAGTCCGCCAGCTCTTGACAGCTCAAATCAAATGTCTGCCCAAACCTAGATGGCCCGATAAACTGGCATGGTTAGAGCGGTTGGAGCGATACGGTTAGCATCACATCTTGGATTCACCAGCCTGATTTATGAGGTCCTGCTGACAGCCCGGGTGACCGGGGGAGGCAAAAGTCCAAACGGACACTCACTCCCTGGGAAAATAAAACACCGTGTCCTTGTCAGCCTTGGGCCTTCACCTTGTTGTCCTCCTTTGAGTGAGACTTTTGGATTTCAAGGAGCATTTAAACAGGCTGGAGCCAAATATCCGAAGCAGAGGAGAAGAAAGGGTCTGCAGGTGCCAGGGAGCGCTCACTCGTCAGCATCTGTGTGATTTGGAGAAATCGCTTTAAACTACATTTGTAAACTTAGATGCTCAGAGTTAATTCCCCCACAAATCCCTGTGAAAGCACCTCAGTGCGTGACCTGATTTATTTTTTAACTTAGCTTTATTTTTTTAACTGCTGAAGTTTCTACTCAGTCACTTGAAAATCAAGCTGCTGTGTGTGAAGGTGTGCAAAGATGGACTGAAGCATCTAAATGCAGGCCCCCAAAAGCGAGCGTTTTTCCCTTAACCTTCCTGCTCCATTGGGAATAATAATTCCTCCCAGGGCTGTTGCACAGCTTGATTCATTAAGGCTTATGAAGTGCTTTTAGCTCCTGCGCTGGAAGGCTCTGTGCGAGCTCTTTTGGCCTGCTCAGGTGTTGGGAGGAGAGGCATGGCAGAAGGAATACAAATAAATCAAGAAGAGAAACTGCCCCTTTCCTCCCTCCAGCCCCTGCCCCCCACTGCTCTCCGCCACTGCTGGTGTCAAACAGTTAATTTACAAGCCGGGCACTGTGCAAAGCCCCCGGAGCACCAATTGTCCCTTTCTCATGCAACATCAGCTCCTCAAAGCAGCCAGCTGGGTCCCGGGGGGTCACCGGCCCCTGCCCTTCCCAAGGCAACCTCAGCCCTTACCCCAGAAGAGCCCGTATATTTATTTCCCGAGCAGCCAGGTCCAGCACCGCGCTAAAAAAGCTGCGGGATGACAAACCGCAGGGCACACGGCGGCGGCGGCTGCCGGGGGCTGGGCCAGCGCTAGATTCGGGCG